CGGGGGGTGGGTGCGGACCGCAGCAGAGGGACTGGGGGCAGCAGAGGCCAGAGAAAGGAGGTTCGCGAGCAGAGGGACAAGAAGGTGAGGCGGGGGAGTGGCAGAGAACCGACCCCGGCCCTGGTGATCTTACTGGTCCCACATTCGTGCCCCACGCGGGAAAAAGTTGACCTGGAGACGCCGGTGCGGCGGGAGCAGGTGGGGTCTGGGGAGAGACACCCCAGACCATGGAAACCAAGCCCCGGAAAAACCTCTTTCCACTCTGCTCACCAAAAAACTTGTCCTGGGGAAGTCGAGCCCTACCCGCGCGCCCAGGCTGGAAGCGCGCGGTGTCCAGCAGTCCGCGGGGAGCCACACAGTTCAGCGGACGCCCGAGAGCGCAGGTCGCTCGCCCGCAGCGTCCAGAAAGCCGAAGCCCCGGCGCGAGCTAACTGCCCGCTCTGCCGTTCTCATTAACCCCCCAATCAGTTCACCTAATCCCGGGGTCGAAACCTGAGCCCGGCGGGGAGGCGGGGTAGCGCCTCCAGCTCCGCTCGGGTCCCTCTCCGGGGGCGGGACTAGGATGGCCGGGAGGTCTGTGGAAAATGAATCTGCCTTCCTCCCGGGGTGAAGGCGCCGGGGGCTGGGTTCACTCGCGAGCTGCAGGTTCTTCGGGCCACGCAGCTCGCCGTGGGCTTGGCTAGTTCGGAAACAGGGCCCTGGGGACTCTGGGCCGGGGCAGGACCCCTCGCCCTCGGGCTTCGCCTCCCCGACTAGGAGCCGCGCGGCTCCCGGGCAGGCTGCGGGACACGGTCTCAGTCCCCCCACTGGCGCTCCCGGGCTCAAGAAGAATTCCGAGGGAGTGGTTCCCGGGGGACAGTCCACGCCCCACTGTGCCCCCTCCCCCGGGAGAGGAATGGGGACCGGCTTGGGAGAAAAGACGGCTGGGACTGGTAGCGGAAACCCAAGCGACGTCTCCCGCGTCCTGAGCGCCAGAAGGCCCCCTAGGGGTGAGGGTGCTTCCAGTCCCCATCCGGGTCGGCCCCAGGGGTCGGAACTTCTGGAGGCTTCGGGGTGCTGGGCCGACCTAAGGCGCAGTTCCGTGGCTCCAGTTTCCCCCCCCCGCGCCCCGCTGTGAGCCGCCCCTTCGGCCATATAATTAGGAGCGCAAAAAACAATTCCTTAAACCACCATGAAACTCAGAGCAAAGGGACAGCGAGCTGGAACGGACCCGACGGCCCTGCTCCGCCCCGGGGACCCGTCGCGGGAGAGCCGAACAGCGGTGGTCGGGGCAGGGGCTGAGGGGTCCTTCCGCTCCGTCCAGACTGACGGGGACCGCGGGGCATCGGGCGGGGGAGGCCGCCTGCCCACCCCGGCCGCGGCCCGGCGCCTCTCCAGCTTTCTGGCTGGTTCTGCGGGTTTCTGGGTAGGGGGGTGGTAGGGCCGAGCGCTGAGCTCGTGGGAAGGCGGCCTCGCTCGGCAGCTGGCGGCCAGGGGGCGGGGCGGCCCTCGCAGCGCGCGGGTCCGCGGGGCCTCTGTTCACCTTCAGGGCCCGGGAAGACGGGGGCTGGAGGGAGCGGGCGGGTCCCGCTCCCGCGCAGAGCCATCCAGCGTCCTGGCGCGGGTCCTCTGCGCCCGATCCCCAGCCGCGCGGTGCGGGTCGCGCCGGGACCCAGAGGCTAGAGCTCTCCGCGCTCTGGCGCAGCCGCCCGGCGCGGGTGGGACCCCAGCAGCGCCCTCTGTTCGCCCCCGCAGTGCCCGTGCCCGTCGGTTTTCTAGGTCGCCCCCGCCAGGGAAGGAGGTGCCAAACGGGCGCAACGGACCTACCTGCGGGGTCAAGGCGCGGGCAACGCGCTCCGAGAGTTTTCAAACTGAGTTGCTTTCGGGACAGACCGCGCTGTCTCTCTCTCTCTCTCTTTTTTAATCTCCTTCGGAGCTCAGCCCCCAAAACCACAAGCTTCACTTCCTGAGCGTTAAGGAGCAGCTCGCCGAGCCCTCTCAGGCCTGGCCCCCAGTCGGGCGGCGGGACGCGCTCCTCCTTTGCGCAACGAGCTAGGTGGACAGGGGACCCGGCCTTTCCAGCTTCCCTCCCTGGCGGCCCTCCCCGGTTTTTCTCTGTGGGGGTGGGGAGACCCGGAGCACCCAGACACTAGAAATGACTCGAAAGAAAATGAACTATTCTTGGCTCCGGGGAGACTTCCGCAGCAAGAAGAAGTCACAGATTCAGGACACAGATTGACTGGAGCGTCGAGAGTGGAAGTGCCCAGCTACTTGGAGGGCTCCC